AACAGAATGACTTCAAGAGTGTATCAGTCTGTAGTGGAAGGAAGGCGGGGTAGGGGTCGGCCTAGGAAGGGTTGGAGGGAGGGGGTAAAGGAGGTTTTGTGTGCGAGGGGCTTGGACTTCCAGCAGGCATGCGTGAGCGTGTTTGATAGGAGTGAATGGAGACAAATGGTTTTTAATACTTGACGTGCTGTTGGAGTGTGAGCAAAGTAACATTTATGAAGGGATTCAGGGAAACCGGCAGGCCGGACTTGAGTCCTGGAGATGGGAAGTACAGTGCCTGCACTCTGAAGGAGGGGTGTTAATGTTGCAGTTTAAAAACTGTAGTGTAAAGCACCCTTCTGGCAAGACAGTGATGGAGTGAATGATGGTGAAAGTTTTTCTTTTTCGGGCCACCCTGCCTTGGTGGGAATCGGCCGGTGTGATAATAAAAAAAAAAAAAATATATGGTGCATAGAAGGTTGAGGAGGGGTTGTTGAGGTGGTTCGGATATGTAGAGAGGATGGAGATAGAAAGACTTAGAGAGTGCATAAATCTGTAGCAGAGGGAAGGCGGGGTACAGGTCGTGTGTGAGGGGCTTGGACTTCCAGCAAGCATGTGTGAGCGTGTTAGATAGGAGCGAATGGAGACAAATGGTTTTTAGGACTTGACGTGCTGTTGGAGCGTGAGCAGGGTAGTATTTATGAAGGGATTCAGGGAAACTGGCAGGCCGGACTTGAGTCCTGGAGATGGGAAGTGCAGTGTCTGCACTCTGAAGGAGGGGTGTTAATGTTGCAATTTTATAACTTTAGTGTAAGCGTACCTCTGGCAAGACAGTCAAGACAGTAATGGAGTGAATGATGGTGAGTTTTTCTTTTTCGGGTCACCCTGCCTTGGGGGGAGATGGCCAATGTGTTAATAAAATAACATGGTGTACACTGAAATGTAAATACATACAGTAAACCTTCTGTATAATGGACTGATGGGGGAAGTGGATAGCCAGTAATGACATTTGTGGTGGATAGAGAAGAGATTGTTCTACCATGATTGTAACAGTAATTGACAGTTGTGTAACCAGCAAACGCCATCCCTCTTTTCCATATCAACTGACCCAGCAGATTTTGTTTCATATTTTCAATGTTTATTACATGGAGGCTCGTCATATATCGTATACACTGAAATGCAAGGACATACGGGTGCTTTTCTTGAACACCGGCTGTTTCCCATCAAGGTAGGTGGACTCGCAGAAAAGAAACACAGTCCCCATCATTCATTCAGTAGTTGTGTTATCAGAAGTGCTCAGACATCACAGTTTATTTATTTATTTATTTATTTATTTACAATTTGAGCACACATACAGAGGTACAAAAAAATACAGATAAGAGCAGCATGCCAAAGCCACTTATACTATGCATAGCATTACGGGCTGGCTTAAAATTAACTTAAGATTAACAGTTTAAATGACTCTCAGATATCCGTGCACAGTAATACACAAACGAGAGTTTTGGTGGAATTGATATGATGTATACCAACAAACCATGGTGCAGGCGGGGGTTGAGTCATGTACCACAGATTGTAGGTAAAAGTCATAATCTATGTGAGTTTTGTGTTTTGTAATCTACATACATTATACACCTACTTCTTATAAATTACATTTTTTAAATATCCATTACGAGTGATTCACCCAGTGCAGGTAAGCAGAGTGACCGTTCATAACTATTTGTTGTGTGTAATATTATGATGAACAGCAATGATGACTTCAGTGGTGGAGGGGTAAGCCAGTGGAAGGCCTCGGTCAGATGACTAAAAGCTCCAGCTGTGGGTCATATGACTAAGACCCACATCAGGAAACACTCATCCCGTTTCTTGACAAACCTTACCTTATCTAACCCTAGTTTTAGGACAGGTCTTATATAATTGACTCTTCAAGAATCCCTACAGAAATAAATGTAACAGGTAATCCTGGGATCAGGGCAGCCACAAAACATTGCTCGCCCATATTAAATTATGTTAACACGCTGTAATGATCCATCATTCAAATCTTCAAGATTTTGCCTGCAAAAGACAATAAATAAAAATAATCAAAAGTACAACTGTGCTCAGATATATTAAATGAAAATGTGTTAGATATACAAGGACATCCTCCATACTGTATATATGCCTCTCATAAGATTTATGTTCATGGTGATATAACGTCAAATACAGTGGACCCCCGAGTTTCGTGATTAATCCATTCCAGAGAGCCTGCCGAAAGTCGAAATTCATGAAACTCGAAACCATTTTCCCCATAAGAAATAATGGAAATAAAATTAATCCGTTCCAGACACCCAAAAAATATTAAAATAATTTTTTTTTTTCAAATTAAATAAAGATTTACATACTGAAAACAATCAGAAATCAAGTACATGCATATAAAAAATAATAACAACATTACACTTACCTTTACTGAAGACTTCTGGGTGGATGGAAGACAGGAGGAGGGGATAGGAGGAAGGTGTACGCTATTGTTTGGAAGGAGAATCTCCTTCCATTAGGACTTCAGGTAGCAAGTCCTTTTCTGGGGTTACTTCCCTTCTTCTTTTAATGCCACTGGGAACAACTTGAGAGTCACTGGACCCCTGTCGCACAAAATATCTGTCCAGAGAGGTCTGTTTCTGGCATTTCTTTATGATTTGCCTGAAGTGGGACAAGGTTTTGTCACTGAACATGTTGCAGATATGGCTTGTTTCAGCTTGGTCAGGGTGATACTTTTCAACAAAACTTTGCAACTCATACCACTTTGAACACATGTCCTTAATTACTGAAGAAGGCACCTCCTTCACTCTCTTTTCCTCCTCCTCTGAAGCAAGTTCCTCAGCTGTGGTCTGATGCTGTTCCAGTTGAAGCTCTTGCAGTTCGTCAGTGGTTAGCTCTTCCCTGTGGTCCTCCACCAACTCTTCCACATCCCGGTCACTCACCTCCAACCCCATGGACTTGCCCAATGCCCCAGCACCTTCCACAACAGGCAGAGGGTTGGCAGGGTCAGGGTCTGCCTCAAACCCTTCAAAATCCTTCTGGATCGTGTTCTTCGCTTTCTTTACCAAAGGGCTTGCACTAGCTTTCCTTGGGCCCATGGTGACTTATTTAGCAGTTGCAATCACAAAAAAAAATGGATTATTACGTATGAACCCGCAGGGTGATGGTCACGTGTTGGTAAACAATGACACACTGAGCATGAATGGCATGGGAGACTGGCTTTGTGTGCGTGGTGATGGGCAGATGGGTACCAGACGGTCGCCGAATCATGAGTCTAATCATGAAACTCGAGGCCAAATTTTGCCGAAAAAACTTGCCGAAAGTCAAATTTCACGAAAGTCGATGCTGCCGAAACTCGGGGGTCCACTGTATTGTGTTTCTGTAAATCACCCTGAAATATGGTATGTTTGTATTTATTTTCCACGGGGAAGTGGAACAGAATTCTTCCTTCGTAAGTCATGCGTGTCATAAGAGGCGACTAAAATGCCGGGATCAATGTGCTAGTAACCCCTTATCCTGTATACATTACTAAATCTAAAAAGAGAAACTTTAGTTTTTTTTTTTTTTGGGGGGGTCGCTCTGCCTTGGTGGAATACGACCGGTTAAAAAAAAAAAATTATTTTATTCTCTTTTGCCTTTATATTCAGATAGATATGATAGAAATTCACACATTAGAATCACTATTAAGTTTTAAAGAGCCTACAGTTTTTTTTCTTCATCTGTACCAATGCTATGTTAAGTATTAATAGTGTCAGCCTCAAAAGTAATATACGGTGGTAGCTCGGGGATATGAAATTAATTCGTTCCAGAAGGCTGTTTGAGTGCCGATACCGAACGAATTTGTTCCCATAAGGAATAATGTAAAGTAGATTAACCTGTTTCAGACCCCCAAAAATACACTTACAAAAGCACTTATATAAATACACTTACATAATTGTTTGAGTTTTGAGCTGTTCGTATCCCGAGGTACCATTGTATATCCATTATATTTAAGACTTTCAACACAGCCACCATCATTTCGTCGAAGAGGAAGACTGTCATTGGTGCTGTGAGATATGTTTGATATTCTTGGTTGTTGATTGGCTTCGACTAAGAATCAAACATATTATCATAGCACAATGAAACCGCAACAACAGAAGATTTTACAGATCCCAAAGGAAGAATTTGCAGCGAAGAAAACAAGAAACGGAGATATTCCAATGACTTTAACATAGCATTAAAAAGAGGAAATTAGTACAAGTTTATTTGCATTTTTCTAGTAAATATTATAAATTACAATGTAGGTGTTCAAAAAATTACTTGCAGTAGAAACATGGAAAGGTCACAGTTTTTTATTTTGTAAAATATTCTTTATTTTTTACAGACAAATGTACAATAAACACAATTTGCTTAATATTCGATACTGCCCAAGTTAGATGGTTTGTTATTTTTATCACCATTTTTAATCATAATTATTAATAATCCATATTCTATTTTGTAGAGATTTTATGAATTTATGCATCTGAGTGAAGCAGTGTTTACGATGTTCCTCAGTCGACTTTCTTGTCAAAGATGAATATGGAATAAATATTTTTTTCATTTCTATTTATGCATGTACAGTATATAGAACATTACTATTATTTGATTTTATAATTTACTGTAGAATAAAAGTACAGTTGTACCCCGAATTTTGGTCATAATTCATTCCAGAAGGCTGTTAGTGCTGTTACTAAATGAATTTGTTCCCATAAGGAATAATGTAAATTAGATTAGTCTGTTTTAGACCCCCAAAAATACACTTATAAAAGCACTTACAAAAATACACTTACAAAAGCACTTACAAAAACACTTACAAAAATACACTTACATAATTGTTTGAATTGGGAGCTCTTTGAAATTCGAGGTACCGCTGTATTTCAACCAAATTTCACATGTTGTACGAGCACTTATAATGCATTCTCATTTGTATTTTTAATTCCCCATAATTCACATAAGCCATTTACATTTTGTTAATGACCTAAATTTTACAGGAAGTTGACGAGTCGATGAACTTCGACGAGATTATCTTGGAAGCTTGCAAGTCCATTGCTGCTGCAACCGGAGCATTAGTGAAAGCTGCATCCACAGCACAGAGAGAGCTCGTCGATTCTGGGCGTGTGCGTCGCCGGCCTACAGCTGCCTCAGATGATGGCCAGTGGTCAGAGGGCTTAGTGTCTGCTGCTCGTCTTGTGGCAGCTGCAACACATTCCCTCTGTGAGGCTGCCAATGCATTGGTTCAAGGACAGGCTAGCGAGGAAAAACTGATCTCAGCTGCTAAGCAAGTTGCTGGCTCAACTGCACAATTGTTAGTGGCTTGCAAGGTGAAGGCAGATCCTGATTCCAGTGCGACAAAGCGCCTCCAAGCAGCTGGCAATGCTGTAAAACGTGCCACTGACAATTTAGTACGGGCTGCCCAACAAGCAATTGAAAATGAAGATGAGGTCACAGTGGTTGTACCAAGTCGTAAGGTTCCTAACATGTCTCAGATTATAGATGCCCGAGCAAGATTCTACGAACTACAGAGACAAGCAGATTTAGCACGGGAAACACTGAAAATTCTTCAAATCAGCCAATATAAGGATGGCAGTGAATCAGGACTGTCTGATACAGATCTCTCTGGATACGATTCCTCCTCAAAGTAAGTAAAATAAAATGATTTTACACTATACGTACTGTTTCTCAGGAGTTGTGTAAGAACATAATCTGTATGCCTGTCTAATTTAATGCATTTTTTCTTCTGAGAAGTTCCTATCCTTAAAGAGGATATTGTTATGTAAAATGTTCCTTAAACATTACAGAAACTTAAGTTGACTTTATTCATTGTTACTTTAACCTCACTCAGCACCCGACTCCACTGCTTCTCAGTACTTTATACACATTGTTATTTCAGTTTCAGATAAAATTGAAGTATGACGCAGCCAACTCATTGTAAAAGACACACAGCATAAGAATACCTGTATTAATACATCATTTCACCAGTATGAGGTTTTTATAAAATACAGTGGACCCCCGGTTAACGAACTTTTTTCATTCCAGTAGTATGTTCAGGTGCCAGTACTGACCGAATTTTTTCCCATAAGGAATATTGTGAAGTAGATTAGTCCATTTCAGACCCCCAAACATACACGTACAAACGCACTTACATAAATACACTTACATAATTGGTCACATTTGGAGGTAATCGTTATGCGGGGGTCCACTGTATACACTGTCAAGACTAGCAACGTGTATAGAATACCGAGAAGCAGTGGAGTCGGGTGGTGGGTGAGCCTGAAGTTAATATATATGCTGTCAGGTGTACATGAGGTAACTTGTCAGGCAGTGTCAAGGTGAGGTCATCTTCTGGTAATTTGTTTTTCAAGTTAATGATAGTTTTAGTGAAAGTTTTAGCCAAAATATACTTGCTGGTATTCTGTGTGATTGTGTTAAAGGTAAGTATAAGCGCAGATTCATAGCAGCCTCTGTTGCTTTCCTGGTACAAGAAATGAATTTGTTGGAAGTGTGTGAAACGTGCGTATGTATTTCTGTTTACACCACATGCATTCCGTGTGTTGACCATTCTACTGGCACGCCTGTGTTTTCGTAGTTGGGTGTCCAAATCTCTCAATGTTTCTCTTATGTACACCTGATTGAATTCCATCAGAGCCAGATTAAGATTTTGTAGGCCCCTGGGCTACAGGTACTGTGAGACCCCTGGGCTACAGGTACTGTGAGGCCCCTGGGCTACAGGTACTGTGAGACCCCTGGGCTACAGGTACTGTGAGGCCCCTGGGCTACAGGTACTGTTTATTTCCTCTTATATCCATTGTGAAGTGGAACAGAATTCTTCCTTTGTAAGCCATGAGTGTCGTAAGAGGTGACTAAAAACCAGGACTAGTAACCCCTTCTCCTGTATACATTACTAAAGTTGACAATAGAACTTTTTTTTTTTTGGGGACACCCTGCCTCAGTGGGATATGACCAGTTTGTTGAAAGAACAATAGTAACTATATTATAAACTTAGAGCAGTAACTGTCAACACTTTTCACTTAATCTTTGGAGGCTCTCCAGTTGGCAGAGGCCCCTGGGCTGCAGCCCCTAAAGCCCATTCCTTAATGCAGCCCTGCGTTCCACACATGATGTCCTGTATACCTCTACCATGACTGTTCTTACTGGGGAAGGGAGTCCTTGTGATTTCTTCATTTTTGTGTTAAATACAGCTACACCATATCAGCTGTATGTTGAATATGGGTGATGGAAGTTCCTGTTCTGTAGGTAGATTCAGCCTGAAATTTAAAAATATGTTAAGGGCTTCAGTCTTGAAAGTTGATGCATTATGAACCCTTCCAGAGAGGGACCTTGATACTAGTGAGGGGCTCTTGAAGTGAACTTTGAACTAAGGAAGGTGATAATAACTAGAAAACTTCCCAAGTGTAATACAACCCCTGTGAGTTTAGCACTTTCCACGATCAAAACAAAACATATTTTAAGAAATTTTAATTCAAAAAACGTTGACTCACGAAAAGTTTTTTCCTGTATATTCGTGTTCTTCAAGTAGGTGTTCAGTACTACAAATCCTGTGTTCAGTTCTACAAATCCTGTGTTCAGTTCTACAAATCCTGTATTCAGTACTACAAATCCTGTATTCAGTACTACAAATCCTGTATTCAGTACTACAAATCCTGTGTTCAGTCCTACAAATCCTGTATTCAGTACTACAAATCCTGTATTCAGTACTACAAATCCTGTATTCAGTACTACAAATCCTGTGTTCAGTCCTACAAATCCTGTATTCAGTACTACAAATCCTGTATTCAGTACTACAAATCCTGTGTTCAGTCCTACAAATCCTGTATTCAGTACTACAAATCCTGTATTCAGTACTACAAATCCTGTATTCAGTACTACAAATCCTGTATTCAGTACTACAAATCCTGTATTCAGTACTACAAATCCTGTCTTCAGTCCTACAAATCCTGTGTTCAGTTCTACAAATCCTGTGTTCAGTCCTACAAATCCTGTGTTCAGTCCTACAAATCCTGTATTCAGTACTACAAATCCTGTATTCAGTACTACAAATCCTGTATTCAGTACTACAAATCCTGTATTCAGTACTACAAATCCTGTATTCAGTACTACAAATCCTGTATTTAGTACTACAAATCCTGTATTCAGTACTACAAATCCTGTATTCAGTACTACAAATCCTGTCTTCAGTCCTACAAATCCTGTGTTCAGTTCTACAAATCCTGTATTCAGTACTACAAATCCTGTATTCAGTACTACAAATCCTGTGTTCAGTCCTACAAATCCTGTGTTCAGTACTACAAATCCTGTGTTCAGTTCTACAAATCCGGAGAGCATATAGAAAAATAACTAGTATTACCCTTCACTCTGTTCTGAGGTTATGATGAGAGAAGCAGTGGATTAGATCATTGTTATTTGTTGTGTCTGTAGATCTTGTACTTGAAGGTGTCATTATTCTTGTACAAAGTCTACATGACTTAATCCACTAGTTTCCTCATGATCTTAGAAAAAAGAGAAGGGTAATAATAGGTTTCTATGTTCTCAAGATCTGCAGCAGTGAATGTCTACTTGAAGAACAAAAATACAGTTTCTGTGTTCTCAGGATCTGTCCCCTCAAGAAAGGTTCCTTGATGTTGGTGAGGGGCTCTTGATTTAGGGAATTGGATCTGTGCTCCAGTTTCCCAAATTAAGCCTGAATGCCTTCCACATCCTTCCCCCCCCAGGCGCTGTATAATCCTCTGGGTTTAGTGCTTCCCCCTTGATTATAATAATAATAATCTCAGGATCTGTAGCAGTGAATGTCTACTTGAAAAACAAGAACACACAGAAAATCTAAAATTTCCTAAACACATTTTCATCTTCTACAGACTAGAGGTCTTAACTATTTTCAAATCCCAGCGAGACTACTACTACCAATTGTAGACTGATTTTAGCCCTAAGATAGACAGTTACTTCCATCACCTGTATTCAACACACAGCTGATACTACTGAAGCAGTGGTACTTACCACAAAAAATATTAAAGAAATCACCAGGACTATCCATGCGACCAAAAACAACAGTTGCAGCAGAGGTTTATAATATACCATGTGCTGGATGTGATCATGTGTACATAGGAATAACACTGAGGGAACTGGTTACCCAGCTACAAGAACGCATGTACCAGCAAATGTATGGCACATGGAATGTGTGCAGGGTACACAAACACATGCACATCTCATGACCTTCCAATAAGCTTATTTCCCGTGCCTTGAAAACAACAGAGAAAGAATAAGTTATGTCTTGAATCAGTGGCTTTACTTGCCTGTAATACAGTCACATAAATAATGGCTAATACTAAAATAATCTAGCTAAACTCGCCACTAAAACTATTCTTAAACTTGAAAAACACAAATTACCAGGATGTGACTTCATGGTTCAGGCCACATCCAACTTTGCCTGACAGGTCACCTACACTGGATGGGATATCTAAACTTTGGTTCACTAGTTTCAGTATTCTAAATGTGACAAAACATGATGATGATACAAGCCTTCTTTGGTTACCCTTTGAAACAATACTGAAAAAATAAAATACTCTTTGACAGACTGGCAGATGATGAAGCAGAATGAGTGACTGAGTGTTTGTTAACCTGAATGTGTCAGCGTCAGATGATCTAGCAAAAAAAGACTTGTAATAAAGTTGGTAGAATTACCGACAATATGTAAAGTAAAAGGACACAAGTGCAACTAATGTGACATTTATTGTGGCAACGTTTCGCTCTCCAGGAGCTTTATCAAGCCATTACCTAATGGCTTGATAAAGCTCCTGGAGAGCGAAACGTTGCCACAATAAATGTTACATTAGTTGCACTTGTGTCCTTTTACTTTACAAAAAAAGACTTTTTGTGCTTGTTAGAAACTTTTTGGCTTAACCCGTAAACGGTCCAAGCAGATCTACGTTCACATGCGTACTGCTACAAAAGTAGATCTAAGTTTTTTTTACATATTTTCAAATATAACAACAAAAAAAGTAGATCAAAGTTTTTTTACACATTTTCAAATGTAAAAAAAACAAAAAGAAGATCTACTTTTTTTACATACTTCCAAATGTTGAAAAAACGTATATATACGTTTGGACCGTTTACGGGTTAACCATTGTTTCATATGAAGCATGATGAGATGTGGAGAGTTGTATTTCCGGATAACTTGTGATACACCACTGTAGTTCTGTATGACCCAAGAGGGCTTAACATTTATTTTTTTTAATTTTAACCCTTAAACTGTCCAAGCGTAGATCTACGTTTATGTTTGTAGCTCTCCGATCTATTTTCTCCATTTGAAAGCATGTAAAAAAATAACATAGATCTACGTTCGGAGTGCTACGCACATGAACGTAGATCTACATTTGGACAGTTTAAGGGTTAGTAATCATTCCCTAGAATGGGTGTTTGTCATTGATTTAAGGTCAAAGATTTAGTGTGTAGTGGAACTCTTGACTCTCCTGCTGATTTACACAAAACTCATAATAAGTTTTCAAAACCTTAATTTGATACTGTATACATGACTGTGTCCATATGATCTGCCATATTCTTTGATATAAATTAAATCGAGTAACTTATTTTTTCAGGTATGACTCGTCATATGAAAAATCAGGAGTAATCACTTCTACCCGTGCTATTAAGGTGAACTACAAGCCAGAACCCCCACGCACCCAGGTTCTGAATCAGTCATATACAACAACATTCAACACCACTCCTAATCATTCCCACCTGACTTCCTCTCAGATCACCCATACTATTAAACAGTCACCAAACCAGGCAAATGGAAGAACAGCATCGGCTAACACTTCGTTGAATCAGTCGAGAGTGAGCGACGGTGGTGCGGAGTTCGACGATGGACCGACTTTTAAGGAAGCACTGCGAACGTTCCAGAAGGATGGAACCTCAGTCACCACATCTTCCAATGTCTTAAACAGATCCAGCAGAACAATCACAGAGTCCAAGCAGGTCCTCTCAAGCTCCACACAACAGATTGAACGCACAATGCACATGACCAGCTCCAATAAAAGCTACCACGTAGAAGAGAGTTGAAAAGATAGTATACGCATTTACTACTTTAGAAGTTATAATGTAGATTTAGTCAAAACTTGCCTAGTTAATATCTAGACACAATCAGTGTTGTCTCAGAGGGTTATATTTTGTGTAGATGAATGTTTAACTTACATATTACATATATATCAACATATATACTGGTGCAGTAACTAGAAGTTCTGTCAGGCTTTATGTTGCTTACACTCAAATGCTTTTTTTTTATGCATTAAAGATAGATAACCCAGTTGGTAATGGTCTTGGGACTTATGGTGCCTTGAAGTGTCCATCCAGAAATACCCAGCCCAGGTATATATAATTGGGACCTCTGCCTTAATACTGGAAAAAGTATTCCCTGTAAGTATCAGGAATGGCTTTTTTAATGTCATCATAATGCTTTAAATCAAATTAAATTGTTTATGTAAGGATAATTCACATTATAAGAATTTGCAATTAAAGTTAATATATATAATTTTTATTGAATATGTTTTCTTTGAAAATCATTTTTTTAAAGAGTATAAATTGGAATGTTTTTAGATTCCACTGTTTACCCTTTAATATATTTACCATAGATGTAAATGATTAACAGTTAATTTGCTTTCAATTTTTTTTTTAACATATTGGTGCTGATAGTTTTGTTCATATAATAGTCATATTAAACATATCATGATGTACAGTTGTATTGTCTGCCACTGTAATGTAGCTTAGTACAAAGAAGGTCGACTGGAGAAAGGGAGAACTGTATTATTGCAAGAGAACCACAAATATTTTTCATACGTTCACGAGAAAGCACAAAACCCACGGATTTTTAACGTAACTTGGAATATTTAATTTTATTCGTATCAAACAACAGTTGGCCACTTGAGAGAGCATTAACGAGCACGGCTCAACGAAATTGATTTACTCTCCCTCTTTCTCCACTCCCCTACCACCTTCTTCTTGCGAGCCCACTCCAGTTAATCCGTCGCAAATGATATAGTGCCTAGGGTCATGAGATCCTTGCATCTTACCATCTAATGTGTAACATAATAAAAGTGTTTAAATTTTCTGGTGGTTATAACTTATCCTAATTTAATTTTTTTAAGTTGTACTTTAGGTGGATGTTTAAGGTGAAATACAAATGAAGGTGGAAGGTGAATGTTTAAGGTGAAAGAAGGTGAACCGCAGGTGAACCATGCAGTGCTTACAAAAAAGTATTTCCTGGAGAACTTGCCAGAAATATATAAAAAGTCTGAAAATTAGATAATAGTAAAGGTAAGACAGAAATCATGATGCATCAACAGAAGGCTGCGAAGAGATGCCACAGAAATACAAAACAGTGGAAGCTGAGGAAATACTCAGAAAAAAAAGAGGAAAAAATGTAAAAAATTTTGCATTAAACAAAACTGTGATTGCCACAGAAGACAAAAAAAATAATCATTGTGGCAAGGTGTATCTGTATAGCATTCAGGACTTATAAACAAGCAAAAAACAACAGTCCATCCTAGGACCAGTGCTATTTTTGGTATATGTGAATGACATGGCAGTAGGGATAGACTCAGAAGTGTCCCTGTTTGCAGATGATGTGAAGTTAATGAGGAGAAATAAGTCAGATGAGGATCAGGCAGGACTTCAAAGAGACCTGGACACCTGGTCCAGCAACTGGCTCCTCGAAATTAACCCTGCCAAATGCAAAGTCATGAAGATCAGGGAAGGGCAAAGAAGACCGCAAACACAGTATAATCTAGGTGGCCAAAGACTGCAAACTTCACTCAAAGAAAAAGATCTGGGGGTGAATATAATACTGAGCACATCTCCTGAGGCGCACATCAACCAGATAACTGCTGCAGCATATGGGCGCCTGGCAAACCTGAGAATAGCGTTCCGGTACCTCAGTAAGGAATCGGCCAAGACACTGCACATTGTGTACATCAGGCCCATACTGGAGTATGCAGCATCAGTTTGGAACCCACATCTGGTCAAGCACATCAAGAAATTAGAGAAAGTACAAAGGTTTGCAACAAGTTCCAGAGCTAAGGGGAATGTCCTACGAAGAAACGTTAAGGGAAATCAGCCTGATGACACTGGTGGACAGAAGGGTTAGGGAAGACATGATAACGACATGAAATACTGCGAGGAATTGACAAGGTGGACAGAAACAGGATGTTTCAGAGATGGGCCACAGAAACAAGGGGTCACAATTGGAAGCTGAAGACCCGGATGAGTCAAAGGGATGTTAGGAAGTATTTCTTTAGTCATAGAGTTGTCAGGAAGTGGAATTGTCTGGCAAGTGACATAGTGGAGGCAGGAATCATACATAGTTTTAAGACAAGGTATGATAAAGCTCATGGAGCAGGGAGAGAGAGGACCTAGTAGCAACCAGTGAAGAGGCAGGGCCAGGAGCTATGACTCAACCCCTGCAACCACAAACAGGTGATTACACACACATACTGTTTTGAAACATGATATCACTGCCTCCAGGCTCCTTTTTTTGTTGAAACATTTGAAGAAACGTTACTGGAAGACAAACAAAGTGAAAAAGTGATGTTGGTGACACTACACTAGTACATTACCTTTCTACCTTCATACACACACACATATAGGTGGGTACACACACACACACATGCACATACACAAATAGATAAGGACAGGGAAAGGCTGCAAATAGATCTGGACAAACTACAGGGTTAGTCATATATATATGGCTGCTTGAATTCAACCCCTGCAAATGCAAGGTTATAAAGACTGGGGAAGGGGCCAGAAGACCAGACACAGCATAGGCTCTAGGAACAGAGGCTGTGGACCTCATTCAAAGGCCTGGGAGTATACATAGTGCCTACCATATTACCAGAGGCTGACATCAACTGAGTAACCTCTACAGCCAATGCTTACCTGGCAAATCTGAAAGTGGCCTTGAGGAATCTCAACAAAGAGTCATTCTGGGTGCTTTATACAGCATATGTCAGGCCCACCTTGGAGTACAAAGCACCAGTATGGAACCCATACCTGAGGAAGCATGTTAAGAAACTGAAAAATGCAACAAGACTAGTTCTGGGAATTTCAATCTAACAATCCTGGAGAACAGGACCAGGGAAGACAAAATACTCGGTAGAATTGATACATCAGACAAAGACAAGCTGTTTCAGCAGCAGGAAACTGGTACAGTTGGAAGCTAAAGACAGACAAGTTAAAGGAATGCCAGGAAGTATTTCTTCAGTCTCAGTATGGTCAGAATGGAATGGCCTTAGCAAAGAAATGATGGAGGCAGACTCCATACATAGTACTGTACAAACTGTACAATTTACATTCTTTATTTTTTTTTGTAAACCCGCCGTCTCCCATTAAGTCAGGTGATCCAAAAATAAGAAACATCTTCACTGACATTCACTCCATTACTGTCTTGCCAGAGAGGCACAAAACTGCAAATGTCCACAACCTCCTTCATTGTGCAGGTATTTGAGTCCTGGAGGTGGTAAGTACAATTTACATATACAGTGGACCCTCGCTTTACAATCAGCTCCCAGTGCGACCAAGTATGTAAGTGTATTTATGTAAGTGCATTTGTACGTGTATGTTTGGGGGTCTGAAATGGACTAAGCTAATTCACCATATTCCTTATGGGAACAAATTCGTTCAGTAATGGCACCTGAACATAATTCTGGAATGAAATAATATCGTAAGCCGGGAGTCCACTGTATACTGCAGTAAACATTGAAAATAAAGTTACGCAATTTACCCAATGGATTTTGGGGCATTATTTTAAAATTCCAATATATTGAAAGTTTACTGTATGCCCCAGATACACACTAATTCTAAATAATAGGGAAAATGCAAGTTAAAACAAAAGAAGCAATTCCTGTATAGTAGTCCCCACGTATCCACAGGGGATGTGTTCCTAGACTTACTGAAGATGCCCGAAACCATGAACAGTAGTGAACCCTATATATAAGTTATTTTTTATTAACACATGTACCTATGATAAAGTTTAATTGATAAATTAAGCAAAATAAGTCTAGAATTAACAGTTTCACTGATGGGAAGCACTTCATGGTATCTCTTAGGCTTTGAGGAACTGCCACCATCACTACTTTTGTACTCTGGGGCCATTATTAGACAAAATTAAGGATTGTTTTCAGGCCATGGTAAACCGTGGATAACTGAAACAGTGGATACCGAATCCATGGATACGGGTTCTCCTGTACCAGCAAATACGTATATGAAATCACAAAGTCTGGAGATATTCCGAGTGAAACTTGCCTCGGGTCAGAGGCGGAAACACTGAGCTAAACCTAAATAAATCACAGAATATCCATAAGAAACAGAGATCAAAATGTCATAAATTAAAATTAAAGAAATCCAAAATACATACTTTAATTTTCTCATGCAAAATCCAGGGAAAATACACATCGAGTATCAGGCCCTTGGGTAAAGGAGATGGAACCTACTCTGGCGGCAACAAAGAAATGAGCAAAATACTAAAGTCACAGTATGACTGTGTTCAATAATGTATTAATCAATCCAAAGATTGATAATTCAGATGAGTTTTTCATGGATGAGAATGATAACCCCGATAAAAGTCGAATAATTTGACATAACCCTAACCCCAGTGATAGTAGCAAAGATTTTAATGGTTATAATAATAACTATAACTTGTAAAGTGGTGGAGTGGTAAGCCAGTGGAAGTCCTCAGTCAGATGACCTAAAGCTCCATTATTATTATTATAATCAAAAAGAAGCGCTAAGCCACAAGGGCTATACAGCGCTGCAACCAAAAGCTCCAGTTTTCGGTCATCATATAACTAAGACCCACGTCAGGAAACACTTGTCCTGTTTGCTGACAAATTTTATCTAACCTAACCTGACAGACCTTACCTAACCTAAACACTGATGGTATGCCTAAGCATCCTGCGCCAGGTACAGACTAACGGTACTCCACATTCCTCAAACATTTAAAGACACCGCTATCATGTGTCTAAATATTCTATGGAGGAGAAATCTGGACACTGGAGTCATCTCACAATCACTAAAGAAACACTGGTACCCACTCCACAAAAATGGCAGTAAAGTAATTGAAAAAAGCATAAACATAATATCCAACTCTAATATCCAGCTCTAATATCCAGCATAATCAAAGTACAGTGGACCCCCGCCTAACGATATTATTTCAATCCAGAAGCCTGTTTGGGGTTTGCCGTTATAGACCGAATTTGTTCCCATAAGAGATATTGTGAATTAGATTAGTCCGTTTCAGACCCCCAAAAATACACCTACAAAAGCACTTACAAAAATACACTTACATAATTGGCCGAGTTGGGAGCTCATCGTAAGGCTGGGGTCCACTGTATTTGAAAGTATTCTAAGAAGACCGCCGATCACAGGGATTCACAACAACTGCACAACCGAGGGCGCCGTGGGTTTAGAGCAAGTCGCTCCTGCCTCTGGTAATTGTTGGACCGGTGTGACGAGGATTTGGATGTACTGGAAAAACAACAAAGTGAAAAAGTAACGTAAGATAAGACTCGTTCAGTTAACTCAGGGTTGTGTTACCTCCCGAAAAATTTAACCCAGGGTAGGGATGTTAGCCACCCAGGATAACCCAGGGTAGGGGGAGTTAGTCACTCATGATAACCCAGGGTAGGGAGTGTTAGCCACCCAGGATAACCCAGGGTAGGGAGTGTTAGCCACCCAGGATAACCCAGGGTAGGGAGGGTTAGCCACCCAGGATAACCCAGGGTAGAGAGTGTTAGCCACCCAGGATAACCCAGGGTAGGGAGTGTTAGCCACCCAGGATAACCCAGGGTATGGAGTGTTAGCCACCCAGGATAACCCAGGAAAGTTAGTGCATCATCAAGGACTGTCTGTCTTATTTCCATTGTGATCCTTCAGTCTTGTCACCCAGGATGCCACCCACACCAGTCCACTAACACCCAGGATGCCACCCACACCAGTCCACTAACACCCAGGATGCCACCCACACCAGTCCACTAACACCCAGGGT